TACATATATAAATTTATTAAAGATGATCAACAAGAATGTAGAAGGTTAAGTTCATCATATTAATTAAACACCAATTTTACATGTAAAGTAGCTTTATTAGGAACATGCGTACAGACGAGACCTGCAAGAAATCATAATTAATCGCGTTCAAATAGGCTGTATAAATTTCAAAAAAAGAAGACTATATACTAATGTGCTTGAGCAATGGCATTTGCACAGAGGAAATAGCTAGTAGGAACTTCCTTAGAAACATGAAATTAACGCAAATAATATTCTTCATTCAGCAATATTAGTGATCAGATGGCCTTTTTAACGATTGAAAGTTTTTCAAGGTTTAAATGGGTTATTCTCTCTATTCTTCGTGGAAATAATACAATCTAGTTTACCATACAGAGCCAAATTACTTACTGTAAAGTTGGGGAATTTCCTCTGAAGCCGTAGCTTGCGCTCTGAGGATATTCCACCATATAAGTCCATAACAAATATGCCACCCATCTTTGACAAGGCACTCAATGCATGTTTAAAATACCTGACTAAATCTTCCCGTTGCTGAAGACAGCAGCAACTATAATTAAATGCACAAATAATATCTCTTGGAGGCAGTGAAGCTTCTTCCATGGTAGAGCATGCCTGAACATTAGAGGCAGCACCTATAGTTGATTGTGAACTTTCAATAAAATCCTTTTGGAATCTTAGATCTACAACACCTATAGGATCATGGACTTTAGGCTTCACCAGATGAGCCTTGTGGGGATGCAGAACATTACCATGGAATAGAGAGATCCTGGGGTATCCATCACATCCAATCTTACTAATATTGTTCTCCAAGCACCAGTAAAGTGCTTCCAGATCCAAATCTAACCCAACAGCTGTTCTTCTTGGGTCGCTATGCAGCCACTCAGAACTGCCAAACATATAGATAGTAGAAACATAATTTGACCACTTAAAACACATTACAACAAAAAGCCTATCCATACTAATACTTAGAAAAGGAGAGGTAGATGTTATGAGCTATCAGCTATGGGAAGATTAATTTCAGTCTATATTATTATTTATGAAAAGAAACTAATGCTATTTAAGGACTTACAGGTTCTATGCTTATGCTAAATGCAACTTTTTTTATTGATGATAGCAATCAGAACACAATTTATACGTAATATGCAATTGCAAAAGATCCATCAGTCAAACTTTCCATCCAAATCACAGCTACAAAAATCAGTAGTAAGTATTTATCAGATAATGTCAGACTAAGGTAGGTAATTGATAAAACTAAGCTATAAAAAAATTAAATGTTAAACTGTTTAACATGAATACAAATGAACAGCAAACACAAGATCCAAATTTAGAAAACCAATTCTGTAAAGCCAAGCCACTCAAAAGCATAATTAGTATAGGTAAGCCATTGTTTTACAAGAATCCATACTAGGAAATCAATATGCACGGACATTGATATTGTTCATAGAAAATGACATTGTACTTCCTTCAAAGATGCTGATAATGTAAAATCAAATCAGGGGAATTTCTTGAAATATATTTGCAGCAGAAACTGCATAGCCTCTCTGATCTGAACCCTCATTAACTTCAATAAAGAAGAAATAAGAGAAAAATCTACATAAGCACATTGTACATAAAATATATCAGCATGAACCTTAAAGAGATTTGATGACCGACAGATGAGAAGATGTGGCACCATGGGGGCAGCCAGGGACAACCCAAAAACTCATGTCCAGTCAGCCGACATCTACAAACCGGGAGGAAGGTAATCCCAAAACGAACAGAAATCAACAACTCTCTTAAAGTTCAACAGTACAAGACTCAACAAAATTAACAATGTTTCTCCAACCAGGTCAGGCAACAGTTTATTCCCTCATGACTCCAGCGTATGGCAGCCCGACCCACAAAAGCCAGAAAGGAGCTATCAAGGACTCTGGATCTATCCGACTAGAAGCTATTTTAGGCTCCCGGGATTGTCTGACCGGAAGTCATTTCAAACTCTTATGAAAGCCAACACAGGCTCCCAACTCCATCAAGCCAGGTGCCATTTCAAGCTTCAGGCCTCATCAAGCCGAGTGTCATTTAAGGTTCACGGACCTTATATTTATGTGCTAACCAAAATATCCCCGCATACCAATTTACTCTAGGGGTGCAACATGTAATTGCACACCCCTTATTCCTATAAATAAGGGTTCATTTCATGAATAAAGGTTAAGCAATTTTACTATTCATTACTAAACTCCTTGCTCTCTCTTCCTTTTTGACGTGCTTTATTCTTTAGGCATGTCTCCCGGGCATATTTGGATTCAACTTCCTAAAAATTGTGGTGAGAGTGGAGCCATGTCATGACAAGAAGAGAAGAGTAGCAATCATAGAGAGAGGAGGATAACCAAAGAGAAGTAGCAAACGTGGCAGCAAGGGATGCAAGAGATGAGGGCTCAGACCTTGGATCAGGTGTCAAGCCAGATTGCGAAGGTCCTGAGGGCTGTCTCGGCCATAATAGGAGATTGGGGCCCCCAAGGGCAGGCGCCTCAGGAAGCTGCGCCGCTGCACGACGGCAAAAGGTTGAACAACGACCTTGAGAGGATAGAAGACTCGCAATACCAAGACAACATTAGATCCACGCAAGTGAAGAGACAGCGATTTGGGCGCACTGAGGTGTCAAGTCAATCAGAGAATCATTTCTCCCTCCACATCTCAAGAGCTGAACCCCCGGAGAAGTTAAAGCTCTCAGCATTGGATGTGCATCAAGGATGGTCGGATCCCAACAACCACATCACCTCGTTCGAATCTAAATCTGTGATATGCCTGTTGAAAGTTTCGGATGTGTTTAAGTGTCGTTTATTCTATACTACCCTAAGGTTATTAGCCCTGAAATGGTCTAACTCACTTATGATCGACGTTATTAGCAGCATTTCGGACTTTTGAAGGGTTTTCTTAGCACAGCTTAGGAGCGCCCGAGCACCAAGTAAGAACATGCAAACCCTATTGCAGATTAAGTGGGGAACGAACGAGAGACTGTGCTCTTACATCCTTCGATTCCAGAGGGAGATGCTGGAGGTAAAGGACCTCTAAGCCGACATGGCACAAGCTGCCCGAGACTGGGCCTGAAGTTCGAAAGGTTTTGTTTCGACCTCGGCTTACACGAACCCCAGGATTTGGCCGAGTTGTTGGAAA